AAAAAAAAAAAAAAAAAAAAAATCTCAATGGAATAATTAGCAAACCAAATCCAAATACAAATACAAAATGAACAAGGTTTAATATAGAATATTTGGAAATATATATAATATAATATTAAGATGAGAGGTTGGTTGTAGAATTATTTTGAGTTACACTTTTCTCTCCCACTTATTTCCGCGCGCCCTTCTCACTCTCTCTCTCCTCTATCCTCCACTTAGAGCACTTCCACTTATTTGCCATGGCAAAGGGCTGTTACTATTCACATGAATAATGGCAGCCCTTGCAAAAGGCAATGTGTGTTTCCACCCATTGCCATGGCAAAGGGCAAATATTATTCACTTTTAGTTAAAAAAAAAATAAAATATTTACCTAAACAATTAATTTGGAGAAGATTTTGGGTTTCCACGTGTCAATATTTATTATAAAATTCATATCTCATAATTTAAATGAATTTTTCGGATAAAATTTTCGGATAAGATTCTCGATTGCCACGTGTCGATATTTATTTAAAAAAAAAAAATCTCAACTTCAGATAAGATTTTAGGATAAGATTCTCGGGTGTCACGTGTCGATATTTATTATAAAATACAAATCTCAGATTTCAGATAAGATTTTCACCCTCTAAAATCGCGCTACGTGTTATCTCTATCTTCTAAATTTTTCTATAAAACCAGAGGCTCAGCTCATACCTCTCACACCAGATCTTCTCTATCCTTTCATTTCTCAGATTTTAGATTTCATACTCCACTCTCAATGTCAAACATGAGGAGATGCTTGAAGAGGCAAGAGCGAGAAATTAAAGAAAGAAGGCATAGAGGGTGCAGCAAGAAGATGATGAACAAGTTGCCATGGCAGTGGGTATGCTCGATCTATCAAGGCAAGGCCCCCATTGTATGTAAAAACATACACACTTGCTCTTCTATGGTTACTGAACCATTTATTCTCACTCTCCCATCATCACAGACCAATTGACATAAATAATGAAAAGTTCTCCTATCCATCCTAATTTGGTTCACACATTGTATGTCATCAATTCCTATAATGCTATCTAAATAATTTGATCGAGTTGCAATCCTGAAAAACCTTTGACTCCTAATGGCATTCCATTGTTGGTACTGTTGTTCCAAATTGTCGTTTGTCATGAACCACATCATGCACCAAACCATGATATGCAAGAACTGTTAAATTTCAGAGAGACGGGTTAGCGGCCCACTACTAGCAACACTAATATTTTCCCCAACTTAACCACCTACAAAGCCCAGTAGGTGTGGGGTTTTATCACAAAAGGCCTCGGTATTATTAGTAGTAGAACCATTCATTATATTTTGATTTTGTTTAGTCAAGTTTCTGATGTGGGACTCATATTCTTCAACATG